TTTTTTTTTTTTTTTTTTTTTTTTTTTTTGAGACAGAGTTTCTCTGTAGCTTTGGAGCCTGTCCTAGAACTCACTCTGTAGATCAGGCTGGCCTTGAATTCACAGAGATCCTCCTGTCTCTACCTCTGCAGTGCTGCGATTAAAGGTGTGCGCTACCACCGCCCGGCACCTCAAGGTATCTTTGGCAGACCCATGTTTTGAGCGCCACCTGCCCTGTGAGGTCAGAGGTGGATTTTTCACTGCAGCATCAAACTAGCACTTTCAAAGTTGTCAGATTGGGGAACATCCTGGGCATTTGGAGTGGGCATGCTCAACTCTTCCTGGCTTTGAAACTGGGTGATCTACTAGATGACCCTGTGCCTACACAGCAGGAGAACTATTAGTGACCCCTTCACTGCGGGCCACACGCTGGACCCCTGGGCTACGTGGTTTGCAAACATATTACATTACATTGAGGCGATATGGTGATTTTTCAGGTTTTTTTTTTAAATTGCTAGCCTTTAAGTATAGATTTTGCATAAATCCAGTTTCTCCTCTGACAAGTTGTCTGATGGTCCATGTTCTCCACCGCCTCTTCCACTTCCTTTCTGAACTGGCGCTGTGTCTCAGCATCTTCGGGAAGTCTTTTCTGGTGGGATCTGGTTTGTCTGGATAAATGAGCACGTAACCAAAGAACGCTCCTGTGTTGCCTGCCGGCTGGAAAGAAGCCTCCTTTGGCCTGAGAAGCTTAGCCCCATATTTCTAGGATCATACCCCCAGAGGGGCAGAGGTGCCTGTCTTCCCAGCACACAGTGTCCTGATACGGATGTGGTGTCAGTCTGCCATCTCCCCTGGTTTTTCTTTATTCATCCGGCTCTCTTCCCTGCCAGGAGAGTCCTGTCTGTGTCCCTGACTCCTTTACCAGCATTTCCTCAGGATTTACGCTGGGCTTGTGTGCCTGGCAAGAGGTGAAGTGGGGGTGCTCACCTCAGGGAGAGGAAGGAGAGACCTTCTGCCCATCCCTGGAGCCTGGGTGGGAGCTGTCCAGAAAGGTCGTGCTGTTTACCGTTGGAACGATTGACATCCCACTGAGTACCATCTGCTCTCTCTTCCCCAGGCCCTGGAAGAGGATTTGAACCAGAAGAAGCGGGAACAGGAAATGTTCTTCAAACTAAGTGAGGAGGCGGAACCCGGACCCACCACACCCAATAGAGCCAGCAAGTTCTTCCCCTACAGCTCTGGGGACTCTTCCTAATACCCCCATCTCTGGGCTGTGGTGGGCGATGTGGCAGCAGGACCACTGGGGCCTCCAAGCCTCTATGAACTCAGGACCTCCTTTGCTTCTGTGCCTGCTCGAACCAGCCCGTCAGCCTGCAGTGCCCCACACAGCCGCCCTGGTGCTTCTGGTGGATGACTTCATCGAGACTCACATTCCCATCACCTGGAAGTGATTTGGGCTCTTGGGGTCAGGGAGGAGGTGTGATGGGTGTGCCTCCTTCTGTTTGCCAAAACACCAGTTCTACTGTCTGTGAGCACAAGTACTACCAATGACGTCACCGTGAACTCATCCTTATTGTAATCCTTGTGGGTTTTTTTTTTTTTTTTCCCAGTGTCTGAAAGCATCCCTAACAGCCATTTCAGTCCCTAGCAGCCAGCTTTCGGGAGTGTCCTCATTCCCCTGCTTCAGCCAGCTCACTTGGTGCTTGATGCCAGGCGCTGTGTATGTGGGGGCCAGGAATAGGGGAAGGGAGGCCAGAAATGTTCACCCTGCTGGGCGTGCGCGTATACACACACACACACACACACACACACACACATATACATGCGTGTGCAACTTGGCCTCCTGACACCACCCTGACTGCCTCTGCCCTGGCTTCCTATGGAACCTGCTTGCAGCCTCCTGAGCCTGATCCTGGGCCGCCGAGCATGGCAGGTGGAGCAGCTGGTGGGGACATGCTGTGTGCTGGCACCAGGGCCCAGGGAAGGCACAGGCTGTACTGCCAGCTTGCAACTCATTTGGCTGCACCCAGGATCCTGTGTTCAGGAGTAAACACCTCTCCACAGCCAACTTCTGCTGCCTAGCACGTGCCAATCTCACCCTCGCCCGCTTGTCTGCAGGTACCCTGGGAAGGTTCTCAGCCTTTGCCCTGGTCCCGGCCTGGAGTCTCACCATACATTCAGCTAAGCCTCCTGAGCCCTTGCACTTTGTTCTTCCCGAAGACATTCTTCCTGCTCCCAGGAACGTGCAGAAGCAAAGATACTGAGCCTCCGTGGTTCTGGGCCTTGGGGTGGCTCAGGTGGCCTTCTGAGGTGCTGATCCCCACAGGCCACCATGTGTCGCAACCTAGAAAAGCAGCTGTCCCACCCAGCCTGTGTTCACTGCTGAAACAAACCTTTCTTGACTCTGACGCCTCTGTGCTCCATTAAAGCAGATGTAAAATGGCTGGCTGCCTCAGGAAGACACTCTTTTTTATAAGCCACTTCCCAATGCTGCTGCTGCTGCTGCCCCCGCCGCTGAGGCTGGTGAGGGGCTCAGACCTCAGCAGGATTTCTACATCAGCTGCCTGGCCTGATGCTGAGGCAATTCCCTGGAAAGTTTCCCCAGATGCCTACTGGGTGCCTAGGAGGGACTGGGCTAGAAAGGTAGGAAAACAGGTCTTAGGGCTCCCCGATCTCGGGTGCGGTAAAGGAACTCACAGAGTCCAGGAGGGTGGTAGTTCTCAGGGTAGCGAGCATCAGCTTGCCTTCGGGTCTCACACTGGCGGGTCATGAGGAACAGTTGACTTTGTCCTCTCTGGTGCACGGGTGACTGAGAAACAAACTGCACACCTGCAGGACCCGAAGATGGAAGTGGGCGGGGCTGCTTCTGTCATTGTTTACAATCTGCTTTTTTTTTTTTTTTTTTTTTTTTTTGGTGTCCAGGGGACTTGACAGTGGCTCTATTAGGCAAAATTCCAGTTTTGTGGATCAGGTAGTCTTTGATCATTTCCTGGCTTATCATTCTTACTGTCCTGGTCCTTTGTGCGACTGTTGCTTCCATACTTAGTGCCACCTGAGCCCTGTTTGCTCTACTGTGCCTTTTTGAGTGGGGTCTAGCCTAGTCTCCCAGCCTTATCATTTGGCATATGTGCAATGCCTGCTGCCGACAAGGCCCATGCAGTATTCCTCATGCCCTGTGCTAATGTTCTCTGTATAGGGACAGACAGAGATGTCTTTAGCTAAGTAGATGTAACTAACTTATATTTCCCCTCATGAAGGATAGATGTAATGTGTATGTCATTTCCAACCGTCACGTAAAATTTTTGTAAACTGTCCTCTGCAAACAAAAAATAATGTAAATATGCTTCTAATAAAATAACAAGGTAATTTGCATACACTGTTGTTCTTTCTGGTTGGAATGGGACGGCAGGCGGGCTTCCCAGGTTTGCCTAGCAAGATCCTCCTCCATCAGGGAGAGGGCCACACTTCACAGTTTCTGTTTGAAGTTGAGAGAGGAAAGAAATATATGCTCTCTGGCTATTCAGTATCATTCTTTGGTTTGCTTTTTTTTTTTTTTGAGATTGGATTTCATTGTTTAGCCCTGGCTGTCCTGGAATTTGCCCTGTAGACCAGGCTAGCCTCTATTGGAGACCAGCTTTGACAAGTACACCACTTACCAGGGTAGGGGCATGGGGATTAGAAAAATAAATAAACAGAATGAAGACGCTAGTGAAAACAGTAAAACAGAAACACAGGATGGTATTGGGAGGGAGTTCCAGTGAATACTGAAATTCACTCACATTTAATTTCCATTTCCTTAAAATTACCCCAACGCCAAAAGGTAGGAGTAAGATATATGTATATATATATAAAAAAACTGCATTAACACGATACAAGAAAAATGAATAGGCCAGTTGAAAATTATGGGCGGTGGTGGCTCACACCTTTAATCCCAGCACTCGGGAGGCAGAGGCAGGCGGCCCTTTGTGAGTTTGAGGCCAGCCTGGTCTACAAGAGCTAGTTCCAGGATAGTCTTCAAAGCTACAGAGAAACCCTGTCTCGCAAAACCAAAAAGAAAATTATGGGCTACATTCTTAGTTAAGCATTCTGTTGCTAGAACAAGACAAGTAACGCTCATGCCCTAGACCAAAACGTTGTGTAGGCAAAGCACTCCTTGGGTGGAATTCATTGTTATCTCCCCAAGGGAATGGGAACTTAGCTGGATGGATCCTTAGACTTTAGTTTGAGGTAAAAACAGGCCTACTTCTCAATACCTGTAATACAAGGTCTGGATATTAGCCATACCTGTTGGCAATAACCTTGAGAGAGCAGAACTCTCTGAGATCTAGGTGGGACCTTTGAGGTAGAAACAGTCGATAACCTTGAAGGAACAGAAATAAGCTCCAGCTCTCTGCCTGACCTTTGGTCAGATGGAGCGGCAACAGCTTTGAGCAAGCTGAAACTCTGACCTTCAGGCAAGGTGGAAATAGGCTCACACTTTTGGGCCTCCACAAGCCTCGAACCCAAAGATCCCACCTGCTTCTGCCTCCCCGGTGCTGGGGTTAAAGGTGGAAACCATGGACACTCCACACTGCACCCTTTTCCTCATTTTTAAATTGTAGTGACAAGGCCTGTGCAGCGGGATCAGGTTTACTATGCATATGCACACGTTGCCTTACTCTGGTCATTTATAAACTGTGTAGCTACGGTTTCCCCAAATCGCTGACACCTGTTTTCTATTATGATCAGTTTCATTTATAGCTGACGTACTTCATTGTTGCACATTTTCAAATATTATTTTGAGAAGGACTTCGTACTCGTTGTGGAATACCAAAGGATTTCACAAGGTACAGAAGAATGTAGAGTCCCCTTCTGCTTAGGACTGAGCTACTACTGCCCCCTGGAAACCTTGTGGCCAGCAGAGGGCAGGCTGCGACCATGGTGCTGCACAGGCCTCTGGACATCTGCTGGTGGTGTGGACACATCATCCATTGCTTGTCTGGCGGGGGAGGGGGAGATGCAAATGAGCAGGCACCTGGCATACTTACCATTAAAGGCTAGAAAAGTGAGGTTCCAAGAATTCAGGAGACTGGCAAAAAAACCACAGTGCATTAAGGGATGTGGAGGACTGGGGAAATGAGATCATCCTGTGTTAATTGACCCCTCTTAATGTACCCAGTGCTGGGGAGAGAGGCATGAGTAATGCCTGGGCACTGTCTTCAGCAAGCTCACCCGTGAAGACAGGACTGGGAGAGCAGAGCATTGGTTCAGGCTGACACTGCCCCAGAGAATCAGGGACACCTGCCAGAAGAGCCACACTCTCCTGGAGGATAAACTGGTATATTCCGGAACGACATGCACTAAGGTTGGCTGGAATAAATGGCTTAAAAGCATGAGGCTAAGGAGAGAGAGTTTGGGTCAAACAAAAATGCCGGGTCAAGACAGCTTTTCCCCAAGAGCGGCAAGAAGAGTGGGAAAGAACAGGCCCAGGGGGCTGGAGAGATGGCTCAGTGGTTAAGAGCACTGGCGGTTCTTCAAGAGGACCTGGGTTCACTTCCCAGCACCCACATGGCAGCTTACAACTGCCGGTAACTCTACCTCCAGGGGATCTGACACCCTCCCAAAATACCAGTGCACAGAAAGTAAAAATAAATAAATCATTTAAAAAAAATAACAGGCCAAGAAGGACTGAGGCACCATGGAGTAGACTGACTCAGTCTACTCATAGAGCCTTGAGATTCTAGAAGGAAGGGAAAGACTGCAGGGTCTTGAGGCAATCAGGCTTCTTAGCAGAGCCTCAAATGCCGCCTGCAGAGGCCCCACACCCCAGCTCTGTGGTACCCCAGGTGTCCATCAGTTCTGGTTAACAAAGACATCTAGTAACCATGGAGACAGAACTTCCTTGCTCAATGATGGCAGATGAAGTCATCCAGACCAGCACAAGCAGTGAGGACAATCAGAGGGTCCGGCTAAAGGCACTTGCTACGCTGTTTCAGGGGACTTGAGACTGATTCAGCACTCACATCAAGCAGCTCACAACTGCCTGTAGTTCCAGCTTCAGGGAATCCTGTGCTCTCTTTTGGCTTCTGTGGGCACTCTCACACATGTGCACATCCCTATGCACACACGTAAATGATGAAATTAACCTTGAAAAAGAAGAAAGTAAGGCTGGGAGCCAGGCGGTGGTGGCGCACGCCTTTTAATCCCAGCACTTGGGAGGCAGAGGCAGGCAGATCTCTGTGAGTTTGAAGCCAGCCTGGTCTATAGGAGCTAGTTCCATGGCAATTAGGACTGTGACAACAGAGAAACCCTGTCTCGAAAAATCAAAAAATAAAGGAAAGTGGCTGGTCAATATTCAACTAAATATACCACTTGAATCCCCTTCTAGCCACTGGGCAGAGCAAGTAATCAGTCTGCCGGATGGTGTGTGACTGCCCCGCCTGCGTGGAAGCACATAGTAAAGCAACCATAGCCCCTCCCCTTTCCAGTAAGCAACCTCAGAAGAGGCTGTGTTCCAAGTCAGTGAAGAATGAGCTCTTCCAACACGTTCAGTTCCTCCTGACCCCAGAGAGCATAGCCCACTGGGAACACAGGACACCACGAGGCCTGATCAAAGGATGGGCTCCAAGCTGTGAAGGTCTCCAGGATGCAGGTCACCACAGTGTACCCCGCCCATCAGGTTAGCAATCCAGGTCCTGCATCTCCCCACTCACTGGGTTGCATTTGGCTTCCGTACAACTGGAGACAGAGACAGCTAAGGAGGGAAGGTAGGAAGTTGTGGGTGCTCCTCCAGGCTCCCCGACTCATGCAGGAGACTGAATCCAGGGCCTTGTGCACAAGTCCGATCACTGAGTCCCAACCCCCTCCACGGCAGCTTGGGTTCCCCTTTTGTGGTTTGCCCTACCCAGTTTTGTTGCCTTTGTCTTCGCAGCCCATACCAGAGACTCCCTTCAAAGTTCTACTTTGGGGCTACCAAGGCTTCTTTGCCCCCAGGCACCAGGAGGTAAAAGTGTCTGGGAACTAACATCCGCCCACCCTGGGATGGGTCTTAACCAGGGACCCAGTGGGAGTATGAAAGACCAGCTCCCTCGCAACAAGTCAGGACAAACCCCCGAGGTGTGGTTGACACTCCAAAGCTCCCTGTGGGATCAGGCTGCAGCTCCGATCCCCTTGCTCGCTCTGCCTTCCCCTCCCTCCCTGGCGTCTCCTGTTCAGTTTCCAGTCTCGGGAGCGGTTCCTTAACAGAATCTGCACACAGCTTCCCGTTTCATAGCCTACTCTCCAAGGACTACTTAAGCCACGTGGAGCTGTCTAAGAAATGGACTCTAGGTGAGGGAGATTTTGGAAACAAAGCACACTAGCCAGGAGGCAACAGGACTCTGCTGCCCAGGGTAAGTGGGCGTCATCACACCTAAGTACTGTAGCAAGGATACCGAAGTGCCTTGTGGGAAATCCGAGCTGGCTGTGGTTGGAAGGAGTCGCTCTGGCTTGTGACAGGAAATGGTGATTTAAGGACTACAGGGTTAATTCGTTGTTGATGGATATTATTGATTTTATATTGTGGAAGAGAAAAAAAACAGGCTCAGATCAGACAGACACCAGTTTAAGGCAAAACGTGGAAGCCAGAAGGTCTCCTCAGCAGCTTCAAAAAGACTACCTTCAGTCTAGTAATACAGCTTTGGTGTTTCCCCAAAAGAGTTGACCTCAGTTTGTCAAAGAGATGTCTGCCACACTTTCCACACTTTTTTTTTTTTTTTTTACGAGACAGGGTATCTCTGTGTAATAGTCCCGGCTGACCTAGAATTCACTTTGTAGACTAGACTGACCTCGAACCCACAGAGATCCGCCTGCCTCTGCCTCCTGAGTGCTGGGATTAAAGACATGCGCCACCACCGCCCCGCTGAGATGTCCACACTCTGCTCATCACAACTTTTCACAGTAGGGAAGAAATGGAGCCAACATAAGTGTCCATCAGCAGATGGATGGGGAAGGTGGTTTAGATACACAAAGAATACTATTCAGGCTGGAGAGATGGCTCAGTGGTTAAGAGCATTGCCTGCTCTTCCAAAGGTCCTGAGTTCAATTCCCAGCAACCACATGGTGGCTCACAACCATCTGTAATGAGGTCTGGTGCCCTCTTCCAGCCTGCAGACATACACACAGACAGAATATTGTATACATAATAAATATTTTTTTAAAAATAGAATACTGTTCAGTCTTAAAAGGAGAGGGAATTCCTCAACATAGGTGGGATTGCTATGCTGTTATTCAAAGGTGAATGTTGCGTATTCTCTTATGTATGGCATCTACAGCAGACCTGGCACTGCAGAGGTGGGGGAAGAGGAAATCGCAGCGTTGGTCGAAGAGTACAAAATCCTCAGGAGGAAGAACCA